CATTGGCGTCATCATTCTGGAGGTGTTGTTGAATTTAAGAACAGTCCCAACCTGGACATTTGGTAATCTGTTTATTATAACAACAGTTGCCTAAAGTAACTTGACATATCCATATCTACAAATATTTATAAGACTGAAAATCGTCAAAATCATCATCTAAATGATGATCCAAATGAATGGTATTATGGTGCGTCTTATGTTTGTAGCTGATCCAAGTTCGTACGACATTATTCGCCAGGTTGGCCACACCGACTAACAGTAACTTGAAATGAATGGCGGAGTTAAAAATATTTAATAGGATTCCGAGTTTTATTACAATTGCGGCAATTAACAGAGCAGATTTTGCTAGTTTAACGATTTTTTTTACAAAGCCTTGACCATTTTGCTTCTTCCGGGCTGAAAGAGAAGCATTTAGAATTAGTGTCTGAAACGAAAATTATGGTTTAGTCTATTTATTTGGTGGTTAACACGAGCTGGCTCAATCAATTGGTTTAGCTACAAATTAAATGGCATTCCGATTAATTATCATGCTTATATGCTACTTCAACTTCACAGACTTCTACAAGGAAGAAGCTAGAGACGCACTTGCAGGTTCGGTTCTGTTAAAGTTTTTTTCAACGCCACATATTTGAATTAGAAGACAGCCGAAAATGTTACCAGGATGTTCTAATTATACATTCGATTCTCGAATAGTGTCTGGGCCATAGAACAAGACTTATTGACTTCTTCTATCTCTAGCTTCTTCGTTTTAGACAGTCGTGAGCGTCGGATATCCTGTAAAATAAAGCTCCGTGTAATGTTCTACATACAAATTATTTCGCCCTTATTGATGCAAATGACCAAAATCTAGTTGATTTTTGATAGCCTGCAAACCCACATAAATGATGGCTACTACATACAGTTTGGTTTTGACAGCAAATGCTACTAGTCCTATGAGAATTCCCAAAATCACTAATCCAGCAATGACAAACAGTTTCAACATAGCCAATTGGGTCATCAAACCAATCAGATACATTTGAAATCCCTCACTGTTTTCGTTTTTATCGCCCTTTTTGCGGCCCTGATGCACGATTCTGGTTCCATGAAGCACTAAAATTAGAGTATGCAAATAACTGTGTTGCTTTGTTTTCGGTTTTAGTAGATATGTGTATAAGTAGTGTCGAGTCTGCTACCACATATTTGCCCAATTTATGTACATACTTCAGATTTAGTGGAATTGCCATCAATTAGCGCATCGATGTGATCCCCATCTTTTCACCGATTGTTCTGACCCTTTTAACTGAGCTTTAACTGCTAAATGAACCTAATTGGATTTCGAACGCATGTTGAAACTGTACAAAACGTCTCCATAGAGCGATATGATAATTTTATCAGCAAGCTCTTATTTGCATTTTATTTTAAGAGGTGAAAATCAGACAAATTTTCCATCAGTACACTGAACTCGCAGTCGGTCAGCAGTTAGAACAGCATCAATAAACGATCGAATCACAATACGATGGTATTCAGAGTTAGAATATGAACTCGCAAATGTTATGCTATTCATCAGAGAATTAGCTAGCGAATTTTATTTCATTGATTAGTTTTTATAAATTACATATGTAATGTACATATACTATATAAACTTAAAACCATTACCTATACATATGTATATACTATTACTCAATAGATATAAAGAATCAACCATCTACTATATCCACCACTTTACAAACTTATAAAATTATAAAACTCAACCACGCTTATGCAATATGCATTACAAA